AATGACACTCATTGGCATAACCACCTCGGTCATTCACATAGGGGAAGGTCACCACTCTACGACACCCAGCTCTGGTTACTGCCTTGCCATTGGCTCCCAGCTCTCACAGCCAAATTGTGGACGATCTCCCTCCACCCTCAGCCTTGGGCAGGGCACAGCTCTGCCAGTAGAGAGTTAACCAGAGCTGGGTGGCTTAATGGCAGAGTGCCTTCACTGCTGACATGATGGATGAATGGATGGGCCAAATTTGAGAATCATAGAATATCAGGGTTGAAAGGGACCTCAGGAGGTCATCTAGTCCAACCCCCTGCTCAAGCAGGACCAATCCCCAGACAGATTTTTTTGCCCCAGATCCCTAAATGGCCCCCTTAAGGATTGAACTCACAACCCTGGGTTTAGCAGGCCAATGCTCAAACCACTAAGCTATCCCTCCCCACATGCGACACAGCATGTGGGCTCTGCCTCTCACGGTGGAGCCCGTGACTACTACAGAGTGGAGGCAAAGTCTGGGAGCAGCAGAGAAAAAAAAAATGTTAAGAGTTTTTTATTTTCTATTATTTTTATTTATTAAACCCCAACTCTTCTGTACACTGGAAGAAAGGTTAGTGAAATATTTATGTTTAAACTTTTTGGATTTAAGAGTGCTATAAGGGGCTGTTACATTTAAGAACATTTCAGTTTTACACTCTTAATACGTGGTTTATTGTAGGTTAACATGCTGTATTGTACCAAATGCAATATTTGTTATGCAATATTAGCCTCTTAAAAAGACGTATGGCCTGTCAAAGGGTTTAGTGGATTTAAAGCTGCCCATTCCTACTACATATGTTTATACCATGCTCCTCACCACAGTATCTGAGTGACTAATCAAGGCCGTGTTTATTCCTTGACTGCATAATGCATATATTAAACACCAGAAGAGATTATTATGATAATCTGACCACCTGCATAACACAAGCCAGAGAATCTCATCTAATTCAACTCTAACCACCACATGTGGAACTACAGCATATTTCGCAGGGAGATTTCAAAGGACAGAGAATCCACCATCTTCCTGGGTAGTTTGTTCCAATGGTTAATGATCTGCCTATAGCTGCTTCTTGCTTTCCAGCTTTCCCCACATGAGGGAGTTAATTTGATTACAATGCACTGGAGCCAAGCCACAGGAATCAGAGACAGAGTCTGGTAAACTAGGCTGCCTGGAGAACAATGCAGCAGTCCAAGGCCAGAAACCAGGAAAGAATATTCTGAGTGGGGCTAGACAATGACAGGAGCCAAAACCTGGGAAGAAGAGCTGGGCCATCTTGAGAACCTAAGGAAAACTCATCCTCAAAAATAAGCAATGGATTTTACATTGGAGTATTTTCATCTATGTGCCATAGCTGAGCGAGCATGGTTATGAAGGGTATTTCACGGTGACAGAATAAATTAGCACTATAATAGAATTTGGTCCTGTTGTGCTGCAGAGAACAAGAAAAGGAACATGATGGATACAGAAATGCCACGTAATAATCCAACAATAGAGAGATGTAATAATTTCATGAACACTATGTGACCTGGTCAGTGAGGTGAAATTACTGTATGGCTGTAGTGTAGCCTGTCTCTGTATTTGAACTACCTTTCCTAGCACACATAGGAAGGCATTTTAGTCTTGCCAAGGAAGTTGCCAGGCCACGTGAAACTTCACGGAGATTCTGACTTGATTGTCGGGTTTGGATTATAACTAAGTCTACATTTTAATCCCAGGTATTTTTAGTAAAAGACATGGACAGGTCACAGGCCGTAAACAAAAATTCACAGCCCTTGACCTGTCCATGACTTGTACTATATACCCCTTACTAAAACTTGTGGGGTGAAGGGTGCTCTGGGGGGCCCCATGGGTGAGAGCAGCGTGTGGCCCAGCACCCGTACTGCTGCTGGGGGGCAGGCAGGGCTTGCAGGCTCCCTACCCGGCTCTCGGAAGCAGCCGCTATGTCCCTGCGGGCCCTAGGCGGAGGTGCAGGCAGAGGGGCTCTGCGCACTGCCCCCGTCCCAAACGCCTGCTCTGCAGCTCCCATTGGCCGGGAACTGCAGCCAGTGGGAGTTGTGGGGGCGGTGCCTGCATGCGAAAGGAACATGCAGAGCCACCAGGCCAGGCCTCCATCTAGCTAAGCACCGCCCAGAGTCCTCACCCCTCCCACATACCAACCCGCTGCCTCAGCACTGAGCCCCCTCCCGCACCCAAACTCCTGCTGCTGGTGGTAGGGGAGGGGTGCGGTGGCCCGAGACTGCCACAGCAGCGGTCGGTGCAGCTGGCCTGAGGGCCGCCCAAGCTGCTCAGGCAGCCCCCAGGCCAGCCGCAACGGCCACTGCAGAAGTCACGGAGGTCCCAGAAAGTAATGAAATCCATGACTTCCGTGACAGACTCGCAGCCTTAATTATAGCAGATGGGATCCCAAACACTTCAGAATGACTCACTCCAACTACGCGGAAAGTCAGCACAAAGAATGCCAAATGTTAACCTACGGTACCAGTGGAACCACATGTTTTAGTTCTGTTACTGACTGAGACGGGAAGGGCTATGACTTTGGGCATATGTAGATTACCCGTGGCAAGACAGAGGACTCATTTGCAACACTGCCATCAAAGACCAGTAGTTTGGGAATGGGACTACTTAGTGCCTGCTGTGGAGCATGAGGGGATTGGATTGAGTCTTGACCCTGGGGTGTTGCATATAGGCTCGCACAAAAATAGAACAGCCTCAATTCGATACCCTCATGTGCCAGAACCAAGACAAGTGAGCACATAGGTGGTTATCCCATGTGCTGGGGAGCGTGAGCTACATATCAACTTGGGCTTCAGCATGTGGGATAATTACCTATGTGCTGATTTCCCTCAGTGCTGGCCACAATGCTTTCTTCTTGGCATTGCGGAGTTTGCAATCTTGGAACCTGAGGATGTAATGTTGCTATCTCTGGTCTGGGAGGCAAGAGGTCCTGGGGAACTATGGTGCTGTTTTCTTTTTTCCCCTCTCAGTATAGAGTGCCTCAGAATCAAATCCGAGACTGTATTTGGCCCAAGCTATCAAGGCCTTCTCAACACTGTATTCCATCTTCCTTACATCTGAAAGTTTGAAAGTGAGGCTACGGAATTGGGCCAGACTCCAGACCCATTTTGGAAGATTACAGGGCTTCCGCCATCAGGACGGAATGGAATCTAAACTCATGCTTTTTTCTCAGAGCTTGAATCCCAAACGGGGAGAAAAAAGAAGCCCAGCTGATGACCTTCACCCAAACAATTCAAGCATGGGCCATGGAGGATCTGAAACAGGACAATCTTTGAATCCCACACCATTAAGTAAGCTAAATTAGTGACTAAACTAAATGGTAAAAGCTTTTCAAATTAAGATGTCAAAAAGCAAAGGAATTTTATTTTTTATTGCCACTTCCAGTTTCAGCAACTGGAAGTAAGATGCAGGCGTCCACATCCCTTTACATAGTCTCACATAGCTTGAGGCAATGGGGGAGGAGGGTCCTCCTAAGGGTGGCCTTTCTCAGAGGGTTCTAGCTTGTGATCTGTGCAGTAATATCCGCAAGAACAGCAACCTGTGATGAATACTCAGTTCACATTTCCCTAGAAGTCTTTGTTTTAAGCTGTCTGCAAAGTCAGGCAGACCCCACTGCATCAGTTCACATTCTGTTCACTTTGGAATATTCTTCTTCACAGTGGTAAGGGCAGGTTTTTTTTGAAGGTGATAGTTTGAATTCTGGAATGCAATTCCATGGTAAGGGTGAGGTTCCATCCCAAATTCCAAGGCATTCTGGAGTTCATGGTAGCAACACATATGAAATAGATCCCATGAACAGGAAATAGTAAGATTTGGTAGGAAGTATAAATCTGGTGAGGTGAGAGTAATTAACAACAAATTGGTTGCAGGATCTAATTTTCCTGCTTTATATCTCCAAACTATTTTTTTTTTTTTTGAGGCTGCAGAATTTTGTTTCCCCTTACCTGCCAAAAGCTTTTCCTTGACTCTACTGAAACAATCACTGATAACAAAGTTGTTGTGTTTGGGGATAAAGTGCACACTACTGCCTTTTAAACCCCCTCCTCCAAAGTTATTCAGTAACATCTGAGTAGACTTCCCCTCACCCTACCTGACAGCAGCCTCACTGGCATATAAGGGTACAAAAATTATGGAGTGTCCTGCACTAATATCAGCTACATTAACCCAGGCTGTTTCACTGACATAATTCAGTTCAGCTTTAAATTACGTTGTTAGAATCCAACTAGATTTTAGGTTATGCTTGGAGCTGTCCAGTCACTATCTTCAATAACGTTTCTCCTCCTCCAAAAAGGAGCAGAGATTGGTTGAATAGTCAGCCAACATCCCCATATCAAGGGAAGGGTTTTTCAAGCAACAAATGAACCCCATAGCACTTATGTAGAGAGAACATCCTGCCCTAGGGAGAAGGCATTAGCCCACTGTTTCCATATAGAAGGCACATCATCCCCAATGGTTTACCAGCCAGGGACACACTGGGCCATCCCACAGTCCACAAAGGAGACAACAGTTTCTGTATTGCTAAAGAATTTTACACCGTGGTGTTAGTGTATTTTTCAGGTAGATTACAGACTGGAGTATGCTATTCAATGAACTCTCAATAAATATCACCAGTCTGAAACAAACTAAAGCTACCCGGTAGAAGGGTTCTCATTACAGCCCAAATATGCATTTCTGCAATATTTTAATTTGACTGTTTTGTAGATCCACAAGAACATGGTAAACTCTGAGTGAGAAGTCTTGTAGCTACAGAAAATTGTCCATCGACTTATAAAAGTAGATAATTAAAATAATTGCTGGAGTGACTCTTGCTCAACTGCATTCAGCAATTCAGAAGATTTTTTTTAAATTAAGACATTTCTATTCACGTCAACACAATTCTAACACTTGCAAAACAGCTGACAGTGACAACTTGAAAAGAGGTTCTAAAATTTCTTTAGTACCTCTCAAGACGTACCTGAGCTGAATTTTTGTCTACATAAATGTGGATAACTCCTCCATGTTTGTTACATTCCTCAATAACATCATCCTTAATTTCTGTATCCCAGCCAGCTTCTTCTTCACTGCAAAAGGAAAAATTCAAAAGTGAGAACTTGGAACAAAAACAAGACCACACCTATAAAAAACTAATGTTCACACTAACCCCACTGAAGTCAGAAACAAATGTGTAATAAATGGAAATAGACAGCAGGTAACTTACGTTTGAGGGTTAAACATATTGGAAAGCTGGAAGCACTGTGTTGCAAGTGGTTGTACAGAAGCAGCTGCAGCCAGAACTATTTAAAGAGAAAGCGACAAGTTTTTCTGTCATGGAAGAAAAAAGTCTTTTACATAAAATTAAATTTATAAGTAAGGCTTTTTCTGTCTGTACTTCAAAGTCATAGAACCACAAGACTGGAAGGGACCTCAAAAAGTCACCAAGTCCAGTCCAGTCCCCTGCACTTTGGCAGGACCAACTAAACATAGAACATCCCTGACAGATGTTTGTCCAACCTGTTTTTATCATATTCAGTTACAACATTAATATTTTTAATCAGATGCAGAAATCAAAGGCATAGAGAAGTGAAGTTACATGCCTAAGATTAGACAAGAAATCTATGGCAGAACTGGAAATAGAATTCACTATGTTCAGAACCATAGTTCTTGATAAACTGCCCCCACAAAACCAAAAACAACTTACTCTTACCTGATGGTAAGAGATTTGTTAAAATCATTCTTGGGAGCCACTCTGATTAACGTACCTAGACAAACTTGGAACCCAGACATACCTACTCCCAGCCTTGTGCTTTAACTAAAAGACCAACACTTCTGAATATAATTGTAATTACTACACCGACTTACAAGAAATCAAAACAAAGTGTCTGAAGGAGATGCAGTTAACTTGAAACCAATCAATTTCAAAACCTGAGTTAAAAGTAGATTCTTGTACTATACTTTCAAGCCTTCCCAGATAATTTCTTGTTTCAATCAAGCATTTTCCTATATTTAATGAATCTCCCCCTCTGAGGTATTATAGGAAACAGCAAGTAAAAAGCTTAGACAGCAATAAGATTTTTTTTTTTAACCTGATTGGAATTCACTGACATTTGATGTATGTTAGAACACAGAAAATGCAGCGTGCCACTGGAATGCATGCGAAAGACAGAATCTCAGAACTGTCCCACTTAAAAACCAGTGCAGTTTAGAACTATTAAAATCTACGCCTAAATTCAGTTATTCATGATTATATTAACCAATTTAAACAAAAACAGAAGTAACCGTGTATCTTTGAAAAGCTTTGCCTGTCCCAAGCATTCCAACAGGGAACTGCACACCCTGCAGCTCAATTTTAAGTAGAAGAGACAGTCTAATGTCTAAACCAAATGGCAGCTCCATATGGAGACAACAGCATCAGTCACACTTATGGTGATAATGGAACCATGGACAGGCAATAACATACTCTGAAAATTCATTAATATATTTAACTAGTTATACTGTAGCAAAAATACAAAATTTGCAGTAGGATAGACAGGGTTAAATAGCAGTTTAGAAAGCTTTTCTGAATAATGAAAAGGGAGGATATTAACATTTTACCTGTAAGTTACTGAATGTTACAGTACTGTGCTAGGAATGGTTATGTCACAGCTTGAATAAAACTGAGCGATCAGTAGACTTTCAGTGTGGCTGACTTATAACAGCCAATTAAATAATTGCCCCATTATAAGTTGCTATTTTAAGTTAATTGAAATTTACATTTTATTCAACGTAAAAAGGAATAAAGAGTTCAGGTTATCACGCTGAGGCACAACTCCCTTTCTAGGTCTGTAGAAGTTTTCAGATAAATAGTGGGGTTTTGTGACTTGCCCAAAGTCATAATACATTCAAGACTAATCTGGGAATAGAACCCAGGATTCCTAACTCCCAGTTCCCTTATTTAACCACTCCCTCTAAGATAAATAGCTAGAAAAAAAAATAATTAAATACAGTTTGACAAGAGTTCTCTCTCTTAATAGTGCAAGATTTAGGGGGTGTCAGGAATACTAGGGTTAAGTGTTAGCTTTCTAAAGGCCCTATAGATACCAATAAAACAGCATTTCTGGGGTGCTGGAAGAACTTTCTACACAGATGTAAAGTGCTTCTGGTGCAAAGAACCCACACTTGCAAACTCATTTGCCAACAGTTCATGTTAAATCCAACCATACCTTCATTCTGCTGGGTAAGTCTGGTTTGCAAATCTAAAGAAAAGAATGTATAGAAAATTAAATAAAAGAACACTAAACACTAGATCTTAACTGCCCACCTAAATCTAGGTTGGACAAGATCTTTATGCAGATACACAACACACCCACTCTCCTTCTTTATACTTCTTCAGATAGGAGAATAAAGATAGCTTCGTTCCTTCTAATTTATCACATGGGAGGTGCTCAGATATTAATGATTGTGAGGGCCTATAGCTACCTAGATAAATATTCTCCAAAGTAGTAGTATTCAATTAATGGAGAGGAAGACGAACATGAAACTTCTCTCTTTGGTCCACACTCTTGCTTTACCATAATCTGTTCTACTTAGCCTCTTGATAAAGTACAATTTGGACACCAAAGTAATAGAGAGAGCAGTTTTAACAAGCATTAAATACAAACTATTTCTGTACTAATAGTTTTATCTTCATTAGCTGAAATCTTCAATGTAATTTAACAATAGAGGTTATCGATTTTCATTTAAAAAAATACAAACAGAAGTTTCAGCTAGCAACCTTTTCCTGTAACAGAAGTCAATGCTGAAATATTACTTTAGTGCTTTCCAAGTTCAAAATAGTTTGAAAATATCTAAGTAAGCATCAAGGCGTAGTTATCCATTTTACAAATGGGGGAAATGAGGCAGAGACAACGTGACTTTAAGCATCACTAAGGAGCACAATGTCATTGCCAGGATTAAATTTGATGTTAAATGTTCGCCTCTTTAAATCAGTAGGAATGGTAAACTGTGGGCTGCAAGTGACGTAAATATAACTTCCAGCTTTCTTCCTCGTGCCCAGATCTTCCATTAATTCACACAAAGCACACACGGGGAATTGTCATACTTTAAATGCATGAGAACGCACATTTCAGAGAAGGGTGCATGAAATCTCAGATTTTGTTTTATTTTGTTGACTAGTCAGACACTTGACTATTTCCTCATGGGACAGTTTTTGTACACCTCTAATTATTTATGTCCAGTATCTGAAACTGGTCTATTGCGATAGGTGTTTGGGAATAGGTGATCAGAACTCAAAGTGGTCTAGGAGAGCGATTTATGACCAGCATTTTCTGGATTAATTTGCTCTTCCAACCTATAACCAGACAGTGCACTCATTTCCTCTATACTCTGCCCTCATCGATACAGATATTCACTATAGGCCCATATACGGATTAGTCTCACTTTTATGTACAAAAAATGTATTAGAGTTAGACTGAGTAGTTTTAAGGATGCGTGTGTATTGTAGCTGGCTTTATGTTGAAAGTGCAAAGAGGTTTTAAGAGGTGAGGCATCCAAGTGTGTAGTTATGACACTTGTGTGAATGAAGGCTGCTTTACCTGAGTTTTAGCGATTTCATTCATTGGAAATGCAATGGAACAACTTTTTTTTTTTTTTTTTAAGTAAAAAAACCCCAAGAAATTCCCAGGTTTCTAAATAAATATAGATCAGTGAAGATCTTCACATGACAACTATCAGGATTGATCTGTACTATTCCTTCCCATGTCCTAGTGTCCACTGCAAAGTCCCAATCCCTTTGTGATCCCTCGCACAGCTTCTCACTGCACTGGCATCCCTTCACAATGTCCCCTGCATCACAAACAAGTTACTTGCCCAAAGCCCCAATGAAGATTAGGTCCTCGTTGGTGCTGGAAGCTGTACACACCCCACTTAGGAGACCATCCAAAGGACACAAACAGACAAAGGATTGAGGGATAGAGTATTATGCAAGTAAGTGAACATGGCAATTGGCAGTTTTGTTATGTTTTTTGCTTTTTTAATATAACTATTTTAATGGTGACAGATTGGGTGGGGAAAAAACTGGAATGGAGATAAGAGTAAGGGAATAGAAAAAGTAAGGGAAATGGACAGTCACAGTTCCTCATCTGCTTAGCCACGATCAGCAGCCAGGGTTTTCTAGGTATCACAGCCAAAGTGCGTCTTGAGGAGGAGAGAGTTGAAGGGTGATATAGTAGTAGCTCTTATCTGGGAGTCTTCCCCATGCACAAGGAGCTATTTGGGAAAAAGCACACAGATGTTTGATGGAAAAACTCACTGGATGGTAAAAGGCAGGAATGTAGATGAAATAAAGGCAGATGTCACCACTGCTGTAAGTTGCTAGATCAGTTAGGTAGGGCAAAACGAAGTTGTGAAGAATCTTAAAGATAAAGAAAAGTGCATGTATAATGTGGAGTTGAAAGGGGAAGACAGTGGAGGGTCCTGAAGAAAGCTGATGTGGCCAGATTAATGAGTCAGAAAGATGACCTCAGCAACGTTTTGCATGGATTTTTCAAGGGTAAAGTTGTAGTAGTCAATGCTAGACAAGAGGAGGTTGCAAATGTCAAGATATAAGAAAGAAGCATGTGGTTGAGAGATTTACATGCACAAATGGAGAAGACGGTTGGATCTTTGACGCGTAATACACAAGAAACTAGATTTAATCACGACTTGCATGTGCAAACCCAGAGGTCAGTCGAAGACATTCAGGTTACAGACTTGAGAAGGTGGCACGATGGTATGATTGTACACCATGAGAGAGATCAACAGCTCAGTTTGGGACTTGCTGACTTTAAACCCTGCAACTGACATCCATAAACAGGAAATGTCAAAGCATGACTATGGTAATTCCACATTAATAGGATACTACTGATCAGTGCCTAATAGCACAAAAAAAGTTGTTTCTCCACTCCTCTCAGGAATTTTGTATTGGAGAGAAGCAATGAGGACTCAGATTGTTAAGAATTATCTAATCCATTGGTTCTCAAACTAGGGCCGCCACTTGTTCAGGGAAAGCCCCTGGCGGGGCGGGCCGGTTTGTTTACCTGCCATGTCCGCAGGTTCGGCCGATCGTGGCTCCCACTGGCCGCGGTTTGCCACTCCAGGCCAATGGGGGCTGCAGGAAGCGTCACGGGCCGAGGGATGTGCTGGCTACCTTTCCCGCAGCCATTGGCCTGGAGCAGCGAACTGCGGCCAGTGGGAGCCGCGATCGGCCAAACCTGCGGACGCGGCAGGTAAACAAACCAGCCCGGCCTGCCAGTGGCTTTCCCTGAACAAGCGGACCGGCTTTGAGAACCACTGATCTAATCTGTACAATGCAATAGTAAACGTATTACAGTATATTTGCAAAACACAGCGCAAATTGAACCACGTCAAAATAAATGAAGAATACTTCGTGATACGTCATCCTTATTTATGTTTGTTTGCTTGTAGATTTACAGAGTTCAATCATTCACCATGACTGGGAGCCCTGCTGTGAACTACTACAGTTCAAATGTTAAGTCACAAGATATAAAATATTTTCACCTCCCCTGAAGCTATAAACATGCTAAAAATAACATGCCAAAATAAATGGATTATCAAATTCTTACCTGCCACAGCACCAAATGCTAAAGATCCACTCATCTGCAGAGCCTGTTGTGCAGCTGGGGGAATCTGCAAACCAGTACCTGTAACAGAAAGTACTAGTCTGAGTTCTTCACTTGGTAAGTGGTCTAGGAATAGAAAGCTTAAGAAATCTTAGCGTTCTCAAACATTAAAGGAAGTGAAATACTTCCTACTAAGTTAACTCCAATATTTTTGCACGTAATCTATATTACCACACTTACCCTCTGCAAGTCTTGCCATCAACTGTAGACGACCAGTTGTTCCCAAGTCAATTCCAGTCCTTTCCAGTTCATCACTGTCCAAAAATGAACTAGCACTGGAAGCATCAGTGCGTTCTGTTACATGACCTACTTTCATTGGTCTGCCAGCTAGCTCAAATCCATTTAGTTGTTCCAAGGCTTTTTTGGCACACTCTGAATCTGAGAACTGTAGAATTATATATGGTCAGTGTCTAGCAAAGTTCACAAGGTACTTTCTATCAAATGTATTATTTGTAAGAATATATATCTGAGATGCCTTTAACTTTAAAGAAGCAACTTATGAGTTTTTTGTTGGACAGAGGTCAGGAAGCACAGCAAACCCTGTTAATTACTAAACAGTATAATATTCAGCTCTGAATATTTACTTCTGTATATCTATTCAATTTTTAATGCTCATCTTGTGTTCTAGGCATCTATTCCACGAATTAAAAATTCCAACATAAATCAAGGCCATAGCTTCAGCTTTCCTCCAGTGAGCTGTTTCAGGACTATGATGAAGTCATTTTTCTTGGGTCTTGCCCTTGTCTTGTGATCTCAATTACTGTAGCATGCTTTACATGTAGTTATGGGCCAATCAAAGCTTCAGGCAGTGCAGCATGCAGCTGCATGTCTACTTAGTCAGGTGTTAGCCACAGCATGCACATATAACAGTTACACAATTGTGGTGATTCCCACCATTTGTTTCCATGAACAATAAAATCCATAAACTTGGCTAACAGCTGAGAGTTCTTCCTTCCACTATATATTAGTGTGTCATTTTAAACGCTGGATCTTAGTTCCCAGTTTTGAACATCTGGGCCTGGCTAGAAGCTGCTCTCCTCCAAAAGCCCTAGCCTCTGCCATTTGATTCTTCTGACAAAACCCAAGTCTGATGACCTTCAGGACTTTGCGCATGGCCTATTTCCACTCAAGCTTTTCCTTGAAGGGGTGGTAATATAGCTTACTGGGGTATTTGGTAATACTGGTCATGTGTGAGGTTTTTTTGTTTTAATTATTCATCTGTGATCGCCACAGAGACCACCAATCCAGGATTGGCAGGCAGACTAAAGAGACATAGCTGCATGCCCCAAATGTTGGGATGGTCTAAAGTGAATAAAGTATTTCTAATATACAGAGTCATCTGTGTTGCTGTAAGAGTGCTTTAAGGAGCTGCAACACAAAGAGCTAGCTCATCCTTGGAGAAAAGCAATCTGGTTACACAAAGCTCTTTTTTGTTTAAATCACATAGAAGCCATTTGAAGAAGTCTTCTAATCTCAGTTTAAATCCCTGACTCTGAGCAGTTTGTTTCTGCCCGGGCTCTGAAATGCCCATGTTCAATCAGTTGGATTTTGGGTTACCGACCTAACCCACAACTCTGCTAACTTATTACAAGTCAAAATCTTACCGTAATAAATCCATATCCTTTGGAGCGTCCAGTTTCACTATCCATCATCAGCTGAATGCTTTCAATCTAAAAAATAAAAAAAAACAAAACAAAAAAAAAAACAGACTATCACACATTACATCCCATAAAGACAAATGAGCAGTTCAATTTAGCCTTCTCCCACGCAAGTTTTTTGAATACATCGCAAGATATCCAACAATACAAGAACATAAAACAGCTGGAATAAACACATGGTCCATAATGGAGCTTAAAAACTGTTGCTGGAAGTTTTACCAGCTCTGCCTTTTTCAGTAAAAAAGTGTCTACATTAGCATAAAGGTAACTTGCAATTTACTAAAAGTGAGACATGCAGGGTCCTCTGTTGAGTGCACCAAACAGCCTCAGGTATGTTCAATTTATTCTTTATGGATTATTTTAGGCTCCTCAGCCAGCCAATGACTTCCACTCAGATGTGACCTCTTAGCACAGGGGTTCTCAAACTGGGGGTCGTGACCCCTCAGGCGGTCGCAAGCTGTCAGCCTCCATCCGAAACCCCGCTTCACCTCCAGCATTTATAATAGTGTTAAATATTTTAAAAAGTGTTTTTAATTTATAAGGGGGGGAGGGTCTCCCTCTGAGGTTTGCTGTGTGAAAGGGATCACCACTACAAAAGTTTGAGAACCACTGTCTTAGCACATACTATGATAGCACATCCATCATCAATTGCTGATTGTTAAATCAACTCAGATACAAGCAATTGCAATTTTGTACAATGTATCAAATTATAAAATCACGTGAGAGTCTAGTCAGAGCCAACTAAAAAAAGAAGTATAAACATTGGAAGTCTTATATCTTTGCCTGCTGCTATTTTGGGCAGTGAACAGAATTTCACAAGTTACTGAATTTTTTTGGGGAAAAAAAGCTGCAACCATAAAGTATTAGATGGTTATGCATACGTTGGGGGAGGGGGGGGGGGGGAGAAAGTATAAAGGAGATGATTTTAAAAACCATATCTAAATCTACATTCCATTTTCTTAAGGCTTTCTTGAAGACTTCAACCCTATCCCCTCCTGGCCTATACTATTCCTCTTACCAAAGCTTGATCGGGATAAAACAGCATGGATTCAAACACAATTAACAATTTCTTGCAGTTCTCTAAGGATATTCTTTTAGCATGGCTGTAACTTAAAGGAATATATGTACTCAGATTTTATTTAATAGGCATCTGACCAGATATGACAGAAGTTAAGGGGTAAAGTGTCCCACCAAGTAGTAAATACAGGCAGTACACAAAAATGATTTTTGAGAAGCCAGATACACAGAAATGGAAGTAGGTTGCAAATTACATTCATTTGGTCTTTTTTTTAAAAAATACAGCACTCAGACTGTACTAGATTATTGCAGACATCTCTAAGAATCCTTATACACATGCCCATCTGTAACTTTAATTTGTGTGTACAAAGGGACACATTTTAACAGTTTCATTATATATTCCATGCATAGTTAGCTTAGTGTTAACCAAAGATTTAGTCCATATTTGTACATTACAAGGAGTTTAACTATAAAGGTATGGTTATGAACTAGTATGCAATGAAAATAAGACTTTTTTTGCCCAGAGTACCCATAATTTCAAATTCTGTATTTCAAATTCTATATTTTACTTGTTAATTTCAATAATTTGTTTACATTTCATTTACTCAGCATTAGCAAGAACCTTTCCTAGAAAGGGTTATTTTGTTATAAGGGTTGCTATTACAAAAACTACTCTGAAGAGATATGTTCAATTTGAAATAGTCAATTCAAAAGAGCGTGAAGTCTCATTTATTACACCTCCCTTGGAATTTCTGCCATGGTCTGTTTTAGGATCACATAAAAGGAAGCCTGGCTGATAGCTGGCGAGACACACGTGATCAAAGGTGAGTTTATGGTGGGAGAGACTAAAGCATGTTTGTACTACAAGAGGAAGGATCAGAGGAGAAAGGTGAGAGTAGGGATGAAAATGGTGGCAAGGAAGATCAGGAGACAGGACGAGAGCTGGAAGCGGTAACAGGAGGAGATCTCAGAAAAGGCAGGAGAAGTAAATGGAAGTGAGAGGAGGTCCCATTAGATTTCTAAGATTTTCTTTTGGAAGAAGTCAGCAAGATCCAGAGCAGAGAGGTAGAGGTAGAAAGGAGCAGGAAGTGGAGAAGAGGGTTTAAGGAGGGAGAGGAAAGTGGCAAAAAGCCATCCAGGGTTACCCGGACAGATACCTGATTTGGGGGGGGAGAGAGAGAAAGAGAGAGGATCATAGACTGTTGGTCACAAATAAGATTCTCTGGTTGAGATAAAGCTTGGGCTTAGTATGACTTCTGCTGGTATTTGATTTTGTTGGACATGTATCTTACTGGAGGTTTACGTAGTGAAAAGTTGTATCTTTTCCTTTTAGGGGAGAGCACACGACTCTTGGGGCCAGGATGAAGGATACAAATGGAGCCCAAGACTACATCATTCAAGCTGTTAGCTGCAACACAGAAAGCATCAGAAGAAGTTTATGTATACAGCTTTTAGAAACTCTGGAGTAGGTGGCTGACTGGATATTCGTGAGCTACTGAATGGCTTGTTTGGTATGTGCAGGAGATAGATTGTTGCAACAATTTGAGATTCCACAGCTCAAAGGATCTTCCTGACTACCTCCTCAACCTCATGATCCAAAGGGTCACAAAGGAAAACATTTGCCTCAAAAGGGGAGGCAATCATAAGATCTGATAAACCATAGCTAGTTTTTAAGCACACAGAATTCCTTAAACATTAAAATGTGTCACCTAATCTTAGCTTGACAGGTTAGTCCCTGAATTCTCAGCTCTCCACATCACACCTACCTGTTCAATAAAAATGGTTGAGTATTATTGAAAATATCTTAATTTTAATACAAAATCCCTTATTTGTTTTCAGATGTAATCAGAATATTTAACCCCTACTGGATTCATAAACACCCACATACATACGAGAACAGGAAGAGAAAATTTTTGTAGATTTGTGGAATTTATATTCAATCAGGATGCTCTTTCAGTCCTTTGCATTTATTATAGGAAACAGGATCTAAAATAAGAGTAATTGCAAGGTGCACTTCATAACACCTCTGCCATCAATAAGAACTCACCCGACCAAATGGTTCAAAGATTCCACGAAGCATATCTTCAGTTATATTGAAGTGTAATGACCCTACATACAGTCTCATGGGCCCAGCACTGCCTTTCTGTAGGTTATTGGCCATTGCTGCTGCTCTGTTTTTCTCTGCCTAGGGAAAACAAAATTTCCATTGTCTGTAAGAGCCTAAGTAAAAAAATCTACTAAACCTAGTAAACGCACTAAAAAGTACAAGCTCTATAACTCCCAGTAAAAATGGCTTGAATGCAGCATTTAATAACTTAAATGCTATGAAAAGTTCATGCTCTTGATTAGAATTATGCAATTAGAAATATGCTTCAAATGGAATGAATGAATTGATGTAGATTACTGGTTTCTCTAGTGAATAGAATGCAGTTTGCTTGTTAAATATGCATGACTTATACAATAGTACATATCCTATATGTAGAAGTCAGTTAACATTCCCCTTCTTAGCCTTAATTCCCTCATCTACCATCTACATTTCATTCTGTATTGATTTGTCTAGTTTTATTTAGACTCAGTTTTCTGTGCCTGGCAATATTTATTAAAACTGAAGCAACCACTTCAGTTAAGGTTACAGAAATGTTTCAATTGTAACTCAATTTTCAGCTACTCAATCATGAATGAAACAAGAATGGCGTTCAGCCATCCCGTAACAATATTAGTACAACTTCTGCGTAAATATGGAGAAATCAATTTTGAAATGGAATATGTGCATCTATGCAAATTAAGTAAGTCTCACTGAAATCAATGGTGCTTCAAGGATGTGTATATTACCTCTTGGTCAAGCAGCATATGCTGCAGTATAAATGTTACATAATTCTATGACTAGTATACAACCAACCACAACTTACTTGCGATGCTTGTACTATGATTGGTACTCCCAGAACACGCTGTCCAGTTAGTCCTATTGCCAGCGGCACTGAACTAACATCAACAAATTCTACATAAGCAATTCCCTTGGAACGTCTTGAATTTCTATCAGAGATCATCCGCACATCACGAACCTACAAGAATGAAAATTTCAGGTTTATCATTAATCTCTATTTAGTGCAATTAACGTTTATATAGTTACTAAGGGACTTCATGAATATGTACATGAAGTTAGCTATTGTTTGACTCAATACAAGATGCTTAACGATTTCTTAACGGTGTAATAACTCTATAGACTAGATACACAGTCACACTACCTTCTAAACCAACACATCCTGAAAAATTAGCTTCATTAAAGTGATTTTTTGACTGACAATTTTGACATAAAACTGAAGGTAGTAGGGGAAAAGGGTTGTAGATTCCAGTTTGTCAAAATTGTTGCATCACTACAAAATTTTCTAACAGCTCACCAGAACAGCTACCATATTAAAAAGGGACCTAAACTTAGAATTCCATCTTATGCTGCAGACCCACATGCAAAGATAACATCTTACTTTTTATTGCAACAATACACGGAGGACCTAATCAGAATTACTTCCATTGCATTGGTCACTGGACAAATGTATGACAAAGGTAAGTCCCATGAGTTGAAGCTTTGATTTTGCAAACCAGTCCGGACATAAAACTCCTGACTAAATATGAATTCCATGTGTAGAGGGCCTGCAATAGGAGGCTGCAAGGAGCTATCTACTTACAATTTTGCAGAGGGCTTCGATATTGGAAAAGCCACTGATACTGCACACAAACAATATTTATATGTTCATTTAACCCACCCTCAATTACCTTTCCTACAGTAGAGAAAAATTCTTCCAAGTCTCTTGGCCGAATTCTTGCAGCCAACTGCATACAGAACACTGTTCGAGCATCTCTCTCTTCAGGGGTCAAATTATCAATTGGCTCTCTGCAAAACAAGGAGAAACTCGGTTCTGATTTAAGGCAACTGACAGTTTGAGCAAATGCAGAATTTGTCATTTATGCCTGACAAAAAGTCAAAACATCTACATAACTTTTTTTAAAGATATGTGCAAAATTTAAAAAGAGAACCTAAAGGTAGTCCTTTAAATTGATATTCACAAGTAGTAGCACACAAGTATCCCCACTAACTTTAAAGGGAGGTGCTTAGCACTTTGTTAATAAACAAGTGGCCTTTTTTTTTTTTTTTAAGTTTATATTGCAGAACTGCCTAGAGGACTCAACCACATCAAGGCCCCATTGTGATAGGTACTGCATAAACACTGTAAACTCTTTGGGGCAGGGTCTGTCATTTTACTATATAAAACACAATATGCAAAAGACAGAAGATAAGTGTGGGGAGTGAAGAAATAGGTAACAAAATAGGATATTTCATCACAGACTGTTCATTTCTTAAGACAGGTAGAAGCAATAATCACAACATCTAGGGACCTAATTTTATGCAATTATTTTTAAACACATGCAAGTGACTACAGCCAAGATCCCAGAGAATAAGAGTCCTAGCTGGCTGTGTGGCCATTTTACACAAGTACACTGACTATCAGTGGGTACGTCTATACTTACCTCCGGGTCCGCGGTAAGCAATCGATCTTCTGGGATCGATTTATCGCGTCTTGTCTAGATGCGATAAATCGATCCCGGAAGTGCTTGCCGTCGACGCCGGTACTCCTGCTCCGCGAGAGGAGTACGCGGAGTCGACGGGGGAGCCTGCCTGCGGCGTGTGGACCCACGGTAAGTTCGAACTAACATACTTTGACTTCAGCTACGTTATTCACATAGCTGAAGTTGCGTATCTTAGTTCGAAGTGGGGGGTTAGTGTGGACCAGCCCAACGTTGTATCAGTCAGTAATGCCAACATGTCCATATGCAGAAAGTCCCCAATGCTTAAACTTGGTCAATTGACATTTTAGTTTCAGCATTTGTTACTACCAACAATTTTAAAAATCCAAAAGATACAAAGAGTAGAAGTTCTAACAAAACAATCAAGTAAACTGCTAACTGAATAATTACCATATAATTGAATAATTACTGTAGTTTCTTGCCCTAGCAGTACTGTTCTAGTAGCAGGGAATGTGTCAAAGTGCAGTGTGAGTTAGGGCTGCACCACTTCTTTTATTTAAAAATAAAAACTTGGATTTTGAAGAATATGACTATGCCATATAGGCCTCATATACATTATATGGGGCAGATCCAGCCCAGATCATGGGTGTTTGACACCCATGTATTAATCTGACTTTCCACACTGGAGTTGAACTATCAGTAACACATCCAGTGAAACTAAGGGGTGTGGAATTTAGGATTTGACACCACAGGGTGTAAGAAAAGAAATATTTAGGCTAAGTATGAGGAAAACCTTCCCGACAGTGAGATATGTTAGACTGGGAAACAGTCACTCAGTTTCATTGTGTTACATGCAATGTAACATACTGTAGAGAAAAATCACACACTTGCAAGTGATGGACTGGATGACCAAAGTAGTATTTTTCCATCTCAGCTTTTATGATTCTATAAATGAGACTCATGAGAAAAAATGAGCCAATTTCAACTGGGTAAACTATAACCTAATTCAAATAATTTTAAATATGAAAAGCAAGGCAAGATTCATGCATAACAATTTTGCAACAGTGAACAAGGTGTTTACAGTAGCTGTGAATTTATTAAATGTCATGGATATTCCTTCACCAGAAAAACAATACAGATTCCCCCTGCGCCCCCAAGCCCTCCCTTCCATCCCAAGCGGCATGGATACCTATACTGATCAGACAGATTTGGAAACTGGCAATCCTAAAACTAGCTTGCACAGAAAGTAATTGTGCAGTTCAAGATGCAGTAGCACAGAAAGTAATTGTGCAGTTCAAGATGCAGCAGCATCTCACATGGCATTCAGCATAACAAGACTAATTACAAGTTAAGAAATAGGAATGTGAAAATAGCTACCTAACAGGGCTCTTGTCTTTTCTGAATGGACTTTTGCTTCTGGAGCGCCGTCTGCTGTAAACATTAAAAAATATTTACTAGATCATCAAAAAAAGTACAAAGTAGCTTAATTTTTAGCACTGACACTTAACTAGCCACAAAAATAGAAAATTCAGAAACCTTAATTTGATGCTGTGAGGCAGACCAATCTTCCCTCTGATAGCACTGTTGAATTTTGGACCAGAACTAAGGTAAAAACAAAGAAGAGCTTGTTATAAATCCAGTACATGACGAGAAAATATAGTATCCTGCCAAACTAATGCTTACTGACATCCCTGTTTTTTAACTGCTATATGGGCAAAAATACAGTCCAAGACAAGTAGTGTTACCTCAAGAATATTAGTTTGACACAAATTATAAGAAAAGGTTATTTGTTCATTCCAGGGATCCTCTATTTTCCTATACTTATTTTAATACTATTTCTCATATACATATATGTAATCAGAGGCTTTAAAACACATTAAGCGCAACTGTGAGCCAACCTCTTAAATAAACGTCTCTTGTTAACTAAAGGTATTGTCATCTACCATTAGCTACACCTTGCCACCAAGTGGCAATGATGCAGCTCAGGCAGAATGCCATCATTCACAAAGATCACAGCTAAACTCAAAAACTGATTAGAAATAAACTTTGAAAAAAATATGCTCCATTGCTTGCAAACAGCTTTTTCATGTAACAAGTAGTCCTTAGCTACCAACTAGGTATCTTCCTTCTGGAATAGTTTTGTCCATTTTTTTCTACATACCTCTGTTTACTTCCTGCTTTGTGCACCAGCATCAGCGATGTCAGCAAAGCTCTGGGAATACAGTTTGTTAGTTAACGCCTGATGCAAGTTTGTTAGTTAACGCCTGATGCAAGCCCAGCAGGAAGAGGGTAGTTCATATTTTTTGTGGATCCCATAAAAGTTTATTCTTTAGAAGCAATAGACCTAAGAACCTGCACCCTACTGGAAACTATCATCCAGTTTTTTAAGTGTTAAACCTTCAACTTGACCTGGTTTAACTACTACTAAGTGTCTTTTACTAGGACTTGAATAGATAATTTCCTTTCATCCTAATCCTAACTAAAGTTATATTCTGACTTTATGCTACTTGTTTTTCTATCAATTTTTAGTTCAATTTAATCAAAGTATAGGTTATTTGCTTGTAGTTTAGGATAAAAACAAAATTACTAAAGTAGTAACTGAAACATATTACATTATTTCCATTGTTCTCCTTACTGCCTTGTAAAACTGCAACATTACTTTGAACAAGTGTTCAAAGTAAAAAGTAAACGGACTAGTTTAGAAAGTACATAGTTCAGTTTAAGCCTTTACCATATTGATGTGAACCATGCTCAATTGTACATTAAAATAACCTACTATGGGCTTCTATAGCGGCCTCTGAATCTACGTTCTCTACTTCTAGAGCGGCTACGTCTGCGTTCTTTGCTTCTGCTGCGTTTCCTTTCCCGACTTTTGCTCTTTTTCCTCTCGCGATCACGGCTTCGTTTGCGCTCTTTACTTTTGCTCCTCTTCCTCTCATGACTGCGACTTCTGCTCTTGCTTTTTTTTCTCCTAAGAAAATACAACTTATGTTACAGATGTAAAGAAACTTCAATGTTGGCTTCTGCCATTATGCATTAACTTTCCTCATCTAATTAGTCAGTCTTCTCTCTAACAATGTACTAATTTTATTTCCACAATCTGTAATGCCAGACACTAACATACGAACAGTGCTTAAATCAGTTTTTATATGCTTGATCAGCCATTACCAAAAGAGATCAATTTAGAACTCTTAAAATTTGAGCATGAATGCTCCCTGGTTTCAAGCTCTCATCTTTTGGCTTTGTAAATATTAAAAAATACTAGGTAGTGGGGCTGAATGTAAAATAGTACATATTAAATTCAACACATCAATTACTATGTTGTAAAAGTATTTACAATGAGCATCCAAGCTTTCAACATCTGCTAAGATGAAGAGAGTCAAGTGGGGCTGACTTTTCATAGTAAAAATAAGACAAAGGACAATTACCTTTTTTTTTTTTTATCCCTGACAGATAGACATCTTGGAATTTTGCAGCATTACTGTAACAGCAATAACATGCAAACTGTCTTCAGTTCCTATTAACTACAGAATTCCAGAAGAGCTGTTTAAATTTCACAAGGATGAAACTGTTCATTGCTTATATACTAAAATAGTAGTTACTTTTCTAAAAGACAATCATTGTACACAGAGCCCCAAACAAATATAGCTGGACCGAAAGGAGCGGAACAGTAAGTCTGCCACACAATTTGATCCTTTCCATGTGTTTGGCTACCCCTCTCCACTCCCCCCAAAAAAGCAAAAACTTAAGAGGCATCAGGAGCTGAAGACTGTCCTACTGTCTCCACAACAAACAGAACACTTCACAAAGTGATCACACTATATCTGACCTATCAGTCATCTTCAGAGGAAACCTGCAGAGATGAGCCTGGGAGGTTAAACTCATAACTTTCCTAGACAATAAAAATCAGACTGAATAGACACACTGGATTTATGGCTTATTACAACAATCTATAACCCACTAACAACCTCCCCTTCATATTCTCCCCTTAAGACTGAAGGGGGATTAATGGGCCGCTTCACATTGAATGGTCCCTTGAAATGTGTTAACTACTGATGCTAAACCAATCTGTCCCACCTTACGTTTAGCTGTGACACTATGATTATGTTTCCCTGGCATGAAAAAGAGCTCTATGTAAACTTCTCTCTCTCGCCAACAGAAGTTGGTCCAATAAAATATATTACCTCACCTACCCTGTCTCTCTAATAACCTGGGATCGACACAGCTACAACACTGTAAATAAAAGATGTGGCATTTTTAAGGGACACCAATCAACTAAAACAAAAAAAACACCTCTCAAACTTTGGTCTGATTTTTTTTTTAAACTTGTAAAAGTAAAAGTAACATCAGACTTCAAAAATATTCTTTGTTACGGAAGAGCTTTCTGTTAGGGCTGTTGATTAATCACAGTTAACTCAAGCGATTAACTCAAAAAAGTTAATTGCGATTAATCGCAGTTTTAATCACACAGCTTAACAATAGAATACCAATTGAAATGTATTGTATATACTCGATCATAAGCCGGTTTGTTCATAAGCCAAACCCCCAAGATGGATAAGTAAAAATGGAAATTTTTTACAACCCGTTCATAAACTGACCCTATAATTCAGGGGTCAGCAAACTTTGGCTCCCGGGCCATCAGGATAAGCCGCTGGCAGGTCAAGATAGTTTGTTTACCTCGCGTAATCAAAGCGTCCCAGCGCACCAGCTGCTTACCCTGACGGGGCAGGACAGCAACTGGTGGGGAAATTTTTGTGGGGGGAGACAAGCTGGGGCTCAGGGGAGTAACCCCTATGACCACCTCCGTGACCCCACCCCTAGCCCGGGACCCCCACATTCTCCCCATCCCATCCCACCTTATCTGGGAAGGATGTCTCTGGCCTGGCCGCAGCCTGCTCCGGCGGGCCAGACCGGGCGGCACGGCCGCAGC